CGGGCAGCAGGATGTCCCCTGTCACACTTTCACTGCATCAGACGCCATGTGAGTGGGACTTTAAGCCCACTGCAGACTTTGGTTGTTTGCTACAGTGACAACCTGAGTGCGCCCGATTGGTGCCACCTCCTTCCACAATCTGGACGTCTTGCGGAACATCAGTGTGCCTTGCACCCGGTCCCTCTGTCCCTTTTTCCAACAATCTTATGCTGACAGTCAACCTGCCCTCACAGTCAGGTCTAGGCTGACCAACGGAAAACGCTGTGGCTAAGGACTCCAGGTCGCTTTCAGAGCCACGAGCCTAGGAAACAACACTGAAAACATCACCCAAGAAATCCAGGCACCACGCGGCCAGTATGTCCTCATTATCAGCTTAAATGCAGACAGCAGAGAGTAAAAACTCATTAAAGTAATTAAAATATCTAGCTTCATTTACCAAGGAGATATTGGGGGTAGAGAGTTCATTCTCAATACACATAAAAACAAAAACAAAGACAAAAAAACAAAACCCTTTGAACCTCTTTCTCTTCATTTCTTCCACTCTTGGATCTTCCACCCAAAGACAGCTGTTCCAGGAAACCCCCGGGTCTGCTCCTCGCCCCCAGCTGCTCACCCCTCCACACACGCGGGACTGGCCCATGCAGGGGTGCACTGTGGTGGCCACGTCTTCCTTCCCTCTGCCTTCTTTCCTGCTCATTTGTTTTTCTATCCTCCTGTCTGTCTTTTCAATAGAAAAGAAAAAAGATGTCTGTAGTCACATGCAATAGTAACTTCTCTCTGCCGTATAGGACCATAGATATCAAGCACTATGCAAAATTGGCATGGATTCATTAGCTAGAATAAGAAAGTTCAAACCTTGGGCCGCATAGCAGTTGGATCCTAGAGTTTCCCCACTCCTCCCTCACATGGCTAGAAAGATCTATTGCTTCCTAGCAATGTGAACTAGACAGCCGATTAACCTTTCGAAAATGTTAGTAAATGCATTCGTAAAATGAAGCCAATAACACTACTACTCACCCCACTGCATTATACGACTTTAATGAGAGAATCCATGGAAAATATTTAGGGCCAGATTCAATGCGTGTCAGGACTCTGTGAGTCGTCCCCTTCCCCTTCTGCACCCCTCCTCCCCTTCCTCTTCTCTTAGACCCTAGCCACTGCACTTTGTTCTCCTTTGTCACTTGAGGACGAACGCCCCTCAACTGTATGAGTTGTACTAGAATTGGTAGCATCCATTGCTCAGTAAGGACATAGAGGAAGAAAGGAAAACCAGTCAGGAGACACAGGGACCAGAGGAATGAGCTGCCCCTGAGATCCATTTCCCTCGTTCCCTTTCTTCTTTGAGTTGAGAGAGTAAATGAGCTTCTGGTGCCACTTTCTGTGAAAATCCCAATGAACTACCCTCTTCTCTGTTTCTAGGCTCAGATCAGGGGCTATGTTAGGTGGATCTCCATCCTCAAGAGCATGGACTGATGTGGTCCAACCACACTGTTGAAGTTGACCAATGGAATCAGAGGTGGCTGATGGCTGATATTCTCCAAACACTTGCTTGGTGTGTAGGGGATGACTAGTGTATTAGCTTCCTAGGCCGCCATCACCAAACACCACAGACCTTGGGGCCCAGACAATAGGAATAAGGTTTCTACAGTTCCTGAGGCTAGAGGCCCAAGGCCAAGGTCCCGGGAGGGATGGTTTTTATGCTAAGGTGGCCAGTGCCTCTCCTGGGTAATTCTTCCTGGGTAGGAGGGGATAAGCTACCTGAGGAAATAAAGTCTGAAGCAAATAGTGAAGAAATAAAAGACAAAGTCAGAATTATAGTTTTAAGGGAGTGCTGATAGAATCTTCCAGTCCTGGTAGGAGCTTGACCACAACAACTAAAAAATGGCTCCGGTGGTTTATTTAAGGGAGAGCATCAAAGGCAGGGATAAGGTTTCAGGGGTGGAGTCTTGCTTCAGATGTCTTGCAGTCAGCAGGTTGATTGATTGGCATCTTGGCAGGTCACACCCAGCTCAGAGAAGCCGTGTGGCTACAGCAGGTCACCCATCTCTGGTGCTGTGCGGGAACCTTGGCAGAGCTGGGTGGGAGTTCACATGTACTTGGGCCATCTTACAGCAGGAGGGCCACTGGGAGTTCCCAGAGGCCAGACTTTCCCACTCGGGGGCTTCCAGGCCCATCTGCTCTGTGCACATTTCACGCGGGACTCTCCACAGCTGTCCTCTGCGGACTCTGGCTTTCAGCCGGCTGCCTCCGGCCACCACTCATGTGGTCCCTCATCTGTGGGCCGGTGTCTAGGATCTTGCTCTGTCTGTGTCCTCAACTCTTTCTCTTATAAGGATTCCAGTCATCTTGGATTAGAGCCCACACATATGACCTCATTTTAACTTAATCATCTCCTCAAGCTTCTGTGTCCCCAAACAGTCACATTCTGAGCTACTGGGGGTTAGGGCTTCAGAATATAAATTTTCAAAGTATAAACTTTAGCCCACATCAACTACAAAGCCAAAATTTACTTTGTCAAGTTATTCATCATTTTTGAGTGTAAGGAAATTTATTGTTTTTAATGCAGTAGGCTCTGCAGAAGTTCATTAGCACCACTGTGACCTTGAGTCAGACCCTGGGAATGAGAAATCACTGTCCGTGTGTACTGTCTTAGGAAGCGGGAGGCAGTGAACCTCACAAAAGTTCATTTTGGTTATTATTTAATGCAAACCGATGTTTTATTACTAACCTATAAAATCAACCCAGAAGATTGAACTTGGAATGATTTTTTTTTTTTTTAAATTTCTGAGCTTGACTATTATAAGCATGACTTGGACGGAAACTGATAATGCTTTAAGGAGAACAAACACCATCCTCTGAACCCAATTTAAAGGAGAGGAACCAGCCTGGTGTTTAAGGCAGAGAGACTCTGTTAGGATGCATGCTAAGGCTGGAGGGTGGACAAGTGCTTTGGGTTCAATACGTCCAGGGACCATTGGACACCATCTTTGTAAGAACCTCTTGGATAAGAGCAAAGAGACCCTCAAGCTGTTTTAGGAACCTATTTCACAGTGGCATCGGCTATTTGGGGTTGGATATTTTCTGCTTTTGGTTTTCTCTTTGAAAGCAAAAAGCAAAAGCTTAAGAGTTCAGATTGCTGTGAAGAGCAGAGTGTCCCAGTGGGATGGCCAGGGCTGAAGGTGGACATGGCTTCCTATTGCTCTGTGGGCTGTTCGGGCCACGATGAAGCCCAGGGTGGGTAAGAATGCTGTGCTGTCTCTCCGAATCGACCCCTCCTGGTAAGAGCCTTACTCTTGGAGCTCAGCCCACTCGGGCACTGTGTGAAAGCGCCTGGGGTGAGGTGCTGCGGGGGTGACGCTCTGCCCTGGATGGCAGGATGGAGTTTATGGGCAAGATCCCCTTCTCCTCTGAAACTAGCCAACGAGGGCAGACACGGCCACGGGGCTGCTTCTTCTGGGCCCTAGGAAGTACCGGTTGAACTTTTGGCTACTTAAGAAGATGACCCATCCCAGATAAAATCCTTGTAGTCATTTAATACTATCAAAAGTCATCTTTGGTTCTGATGGGTAAAGATTTTCCCTTTAAAAATTATAGCAAGGCTAGTGCGATTGTGGAATTTCTACATTTATTTTGAGCTTTTCTATGATGATTTTATAACAAATAGCTTTGATATAAGCAAAGGACTCTGAAAATATGACACCTAGTGAATCTGCCTGACTTTTCCTAGCTGGTATCTTTTATGGCTCAGCGGCTGGTCCCAAGCTCTACCCTCTGCACCCGACACCTGTTGGATCCTCCCTGTTTTTACCTCCTGCCTGTCATGTTACTCATCAAAAATGATGAGGAACTTGACAAAGTAAATTATCAGATATCAAATACAGAGCCTGGCTTCTCAGACGCTTGGGCTGATGCAGTGTAGAATGGGCAGAGAATACCAGGGAACACAAGGTGACTTAACCTGGATGACCTGTGCCCAACACATAATCAAGACACAGGGCCTGGGAGGTCACCCAGGTGATGTTTAAGGCAGCCTTTAGTTCTAAATTCTCCATAACTCACTGTCTCACTGTGTTGTTAGATTTCTGTTACTGTAACAACACATACCGAGATGATCAACTTACAAAGCAAAAATTTCACCTTGGCTCACAGTTTTGGAGGTTCCAGTCCACTGCCCACTGGCTGTGATGCTTTGGTTCTGTGCTGGCACATCATGGTGGGAGGGTGGGACAGAGAAAAAGTATTCATTTCGTGGCTGGGATGCGACAGAGAGAAGAGGGAGAGCCGGGGGTTTCACAATCTCCTGGGGGACCAGAGGACCTCTAACTAGACCCCACCTAGTAAAGGTTCCACTGCCCCTCAACAGCGCCACGCTGGGAACCCAGCCTTTAGCACAGGAGCCTCTGGGGCCAAACTGTAGTGTGGATTTTCATGTGGATTTTCAATGCCCTCCTGTTTGATCCACGTGGGCGACATAAACCTTTTGCCCCTCTTTAATCCAAGAAGCACCAGTGTCCTGTGACTATTTCTTAGACTTCTTGATCCCTTATTTTTGCCAAAAGCTGCCAGGATTGTTTTATATAGCATTTTTTTTTCTTTAGTTCTAAGGCAATGAAAGTTTTACAACATTTCCAAACTTCGTCAGTCTCCAATATCTCCACGGGCAAAGCGTTCAGCAAGTGCCAAACCTGAGAGAGTTTGTGAAGTGTGTTCTAAATTTTTCCTTGTTTCCCTTTTACCCTGGACGAGGTAAGCCATTATTTTCGCCATCCTTTCATCATGTGTCTCCTTTTGTGGGCCCCCTGGGGCTGGTGGCCAGCCCTTACAAGGTCCCCTCTCTGAATGACAGCCTGCGTGCACAGTTTCCTGGGGGAGGGGCAGTATTCTTTTTACAATCCAAACAGCCAGCTCCAGAATAGAATCTCAGCAATGTTCTGGCTATAAACGGCAGTGTGCCTTCTTTGGGTCACTTCCTGACCCCTCCCCAGGCTGTTTGGGTTTTTGCAAACATCCTTGCTGGCTTCAGGAAGGGTGGGACGGAATTGTTTGGTAGTTCAAGGGGTTCTGAGGTCTCTCTCATCAGTCAGCAGGCTTTTAAAGAAGCAGGAACTCCAGAGGGAGCGGGGCAAGACCAAGGGCAAACAAGATGGCGGGAGGGGTGAAATCCCGCCCCGAGGTGCAGACCTGAAGGGTCTCTTCTAACAGGTGTGTCCACGAGAGACCTCCGGAGCAGCCCACAAGCAGCTCACAGCTGCGGGCCACCTGCCTTCCTGTGCTCAGCTCAGGTGAGCAAAACGGCAAAAGCAGCTCAGCAGCACGTAGGAGCATCACTTGGAGGTTCATGACCAACCTGAACAGGGAAAGGAGACCCTTAGCTTGGGCCACTGGGTGGGGCGTCCAGGAGGCACATGGTGCCCCGTCGGAGTTGCTGGGTACCCCTGCCAGGAGAAGCAGGTCCCCTTTTCCTCTTTCCTTTCTCTTTTTTCCCTCCACTTTTAAAGGGAAGGGCAGGGAACAAAGACTAAATGGGCTGTCTTTCTGTTCTTTGTCCTTTTTGTGACAAGAACAGCTGTGGCATTCTGAGTGACAAAGAAGGAGCAATTTGCAGAGACGTTGGGCCAAATTATCAAAATTGAGTTCCTAATTTACACATGGGAAATACGTGGCTTTGAGGAGAATTCTTGGAACAAATGCAGATTGGCGTGCGAGCAGTTGTGGAGTTGGAAATCTGTGCGCCCCTGCACGCCCGCTCCACGCAGCTCTGCCCTGCTCCAAGGCATCCATGCTGAAGGCCACTGGGCAGGAGCCGTGACTGGCTATGCATGCTTCTCTAGACTACTGATGGCTCAGTGCTGAACCTTTCTGCATTGACAGTAAATTTCCAAAGCACAAAGTAGATTGTAAAGCAGACACATGTGACTTCTGCTTTCTCAGTGTGTGTCTGCGGTATGGCTTCACTGTGGTATTGCTGTACAATAGTGTTTAGCAAACTTGTTTAATATGTTTCCAGGAGCTTTTCGAGAAGACGCCTTTAACATTCGTCATTGAGTTGCAGAGGTCTAAACAGTAGCTTAGCAAATAGCTCAAAACAATTACACAATGGCCACGCAGCTCAGAAATGTTCTCTCCCCACTTTTCGAGCTGCTCTGAAATAGGTAGCCCTGTGCGTCAGTTTTTGTTCTGGAGAGCAGCTCCTATGAGTCACGCTGAAACCTTAGGGTGGTCTTTTGTTTTTCTGCTACTCACACTCTGAGGAGGAGATTCTTTAAGTGGCAGTTGTTAGGTAACGAATGCCAGAGAACTCTCTAGGGACACGCAAGCTCTGAACCTAACGAGTAAGCAGTTCCTTCACGAAGGCAGTCCCGGGTCTCCCAGATGCCAAGGACTTCCCACAAAGAGGCAAGCTGTACAGTAAAGTGATGGTGCCCCGTGGTGTTTAGACGCTGGTCACATTAGGTTTTCCTCATGGAATATCAGTTAGTTCTTTTTATTTCATTTCTTCCCCCCTAGAAAATGGTGGAATGGTGGTCCTGCCCATTGTTCACAGGAGAGTCCAGGGGACTTGGCTGGATACCCATCATGGGACCAGGGCATGCCTCACTGGGCAACCTTACCTGCCCCTGGCGACGAGCAGGGGAACTAGAGAGCAGACGGCAGTCAGCCCGGCTGTGTACTGTTTCCCCAGAGGAGTGAGACAGTCCAGGCAGGGCCCTCGGCTTCCTCCAGGGTTTGGGACGGGAGGCAAATCAACTATCTTTGACTCTCGAGCAGACCAATGGCTCAGGACTTGTACCCCCTGTCCTTAGCCTCCTGAGAAGACCCATCGCAGGTGTGTCATCTCACCAGAATGAGTAATGCCGTCTGCTAAATGGACCAAAGAGGCTGAGGATGGTGTTGGATCTTGCTGGCTTACAGAGATTTGACTGTCAATCTTGAAGGAACCTCATCCTCTCCACTTCCATAGATTTGCTTTTGGTTAGAGCACAGATAAAGAGTGATGCCAAGCCCTGCAGTGCTGGCTCTTGTCGAATTTGCTTTACGGTTTCCATTGTTGTGTCGGTAGTTCTGTCTTCCTTTACTGTCCGGGTACTTTTCTGATTGCCACCCCTTTTATTTTGAGTTTCCCGAGGACTGGACACCTTTTCTATCTGGGTTGATTCAATCAGCTTATGAAACTGTCTTTCCTGCAGTGTCATGGAAGAGCTCAGGGTGTGCAGCCAGTTTCTTGGCTTCGTGTCCCAACACTTTGACCACGTGACCGTTGGGGAACCACTGAGATCTCACAGGGCCTCACTTTTTCATGAGCTGAGGATAGCTCCTTCAAAAAGTCATGATGATCAAGGGGATCATGGATATAAAAACACCTTTTCACATGCCAGTGTCAATAACTTTGTTTCAACAGTTTCAATCTCAGAGCTACTGATGTGGGTGCCTTTAATAAGAATGCTGTAGAGGCTGGGGCTGTGGTTCAGCGGAGGAGCGCTTGCCTAGCATATGCGAGGCCCTGGGTTCGATCCTCAGCACCAACAAAAAATAAACAGAATAAAGGTGTTGGGTCCAACTACAACTAATGAATAAATTAAAAAAATTTTTAAAAGGTAATGCTGTATGAGCTTATGGATCTTGTAAGGATCACCCTCGTCTCCAGGTTTTTACTTATGGAACATGTTGGGCAATACCGTGTTCCTGGTTAGGAAACGCTTCTCTTCTGTTTGAGCTCTGAGAATTAAACAAAAATATATTGAAATGAAATATAACCCAAATAACGGCAGGCATTTTGTCCTGACCTGACTCCACTGTATGCTTCTTAAAATTATTCCTTCCCAGCCTCCCAACAGCTGTGTCTATGTGAACAGTACAGTAGGACCTTCCGGAGTCCCTGACTGTGGTCCTGATGTATAACAAAAATGACTCTGAAATGTGTAATCAAAACAATTCCCTCATGAAAGCTGTCTCAACAGGGTCTCTCTGACTACATGTGCCTCACTTGTTCTTGTGGTTTTTGCCTTTATAAACTCTGTACTCCCCAAATCCAGGAGCTGTGAGGTCTTTGAGGCACCAGCTCCCAGCCACTTGCCTGGATTGTTCTTTATTTCCTTTCAGTGTGGCTCAGTAAGGGTGGTGGTGTGTGACTGCCGTGCACTCCAGAACACACATCAGAGAAGAAACTTCTTCCTTCCTTCCTTCCTTCCTTTCTTCCTTCTCTTCCTCCTCCTCCTCCTCCTCCTCCTTCTCTTTTTTACTGTGAACATATTTTCTACTTGTCATTTCAATTATTTGTATACTTTTGTATAAATCTAAGTGGAGGAATCTGAACTTTTGATACTTTTCCAACAATTTACTTTCTGTGTTATAAATCTCTTTTTGTAGGTTGGGCCGTCTGCTTCTGGTACTGTCTCAGAACAGACACTCTGAAGGGACACATGACAAAAGCAATAGGTCCCTGATATTCATCATAGTCATATCTTTCCCTCCTTCCCTGAGTGCATCAGAAAGTAAGGTGAATATATGAATCAAAACAAAAGACCAAACCAAAGGACAGGGATCCAAGACCACAGGAGAGAGCCGTGAGCAGCACACGGGAAGCAACACCTGAGAAGTGGTCTTGGAATCCGCTCCTGGATTAGTCTCCTTGGGCAAAGGGCTTTGAGACTTTTAAAGGTGGAGAAATAAAACCTAGAACTCCCACATCAGCTTTCTTCTCTTAGGAGGGAACAGAGTGGAAGAACTTCTGGCTTTGGAAAGGGACAGGCAAGTCTCCTTCAGAGGAGAGATTTATGAGTGAAGGTGCTGAAGTCAATAGTGACTAAGTGAAAATAGGGTTCCTAAGTGCACATTTGATCACAGGAAAGACGTAAACCACTATGAGAGAAAACAAGCCCAAACCACAAATGTCCTGTGCAAAACGTCACTCAAACTATTAGAAAATCAGATACAGACTATCAAACAACTCCAAATGAAATATTTAAAGCAAAATAAAGAATATAATAACAATGAATATAGAAGTTGCAGAACTAACCAGGAATATCTGAAAGGCAAAATGAGTCACACAGAAGTTTTAGGAATGGAAAACACAAGGTTTAACATTAAAGAAGAGTTAGACACAGCTGAAGAAAGAATTCAGAAAGTAAAAGGGAAGTCTGAAGAAATTATCCAGGCCCTAGTCTTAATACCAAGGATACAGAAAACATGGAGAAGAGTATGAGAAGATCTGGTGCTGTCTAATTAGTTTGAAGGAGAAAACAGAATTGAGGAAGGGCAATCTTAAAAGAAAGACAATCCTAAGAAATCTTCAGAGCTAATAAAATACACAAATCCATGGATGTTCAAGACTAGCACCATGGAACACCAAAGACAAAGTGTATTTTAAAAGAGCAAGACCTATTTAGACTTTCAGTTAAAAAAAATAAAGAGCAAGAACAAAGGTAAAGAGGCATAAAAAATAGAAAGCAGAGAGAAAGCCTGAAACTAGGTGGTGGAAACCACTTCTGATTTAAAAATAACCACAATTAAGTTAAACTTATTTATAAGAGAGCATTAGGAAAAGCAAACTCAAACTACAAATACAAAACCTTTAAAAAGATAGTCCTAGAATATAATTGTTGAGGGCTATAGCCGAGTTGGGATGACGCATGGCATTTTTGCCAGAAGTAGTGGTTGAGAGGTGACGCCAGCGAGCCATTAAGATGATGACTTTTGAGTTCTCGCGGAGTTCCCATTGAGTTCCGGCTGAGCTCTCAGGGGGATTCCTGAAGAGTTCGCGTTGGTTGGTGAAGTTCGGGTGGTGGGAGTTCCCATTGGTGTGGTGTGTTCCTGGAGGAGCCGCGTGGGTGGCATTGGGGAGAGTTCCCAGGGAGCGTGTATGGAGTTTGTTCCTGCTTGAGTGGCTCGTGATTTGTGCCCAGCCAGACTGCGGCATATAATGACATGGGAAATTCAAAAATAAAAGATGGAAAAATTATTTAAGGCAAATGCTAACTAAAAGAAATATGTCCGTGAAATTATTATCAGATAAGAATAAATCATCAAAGAATGAGGATCATTGTATTGTAAAATTTCTAATTCAGCAGGAAGATCAAAGAGTTTTAAACTTGTATGGCTTTAATAAAAATAAGAAGGACATAAAATATACAAACCAAGTGTGGCAAATCTACCAGAAGCAATTAATACATTTTACTATTACTGTGTGAATTTATAACAGACATTTCTCAAGTGTGATAGGTTAAATAGACTAAAATTAGTAAAGTTAAAGAAAATTTAAGTGACACAATAAGCAAACTTGATT